TGCTAACCACTGATCCACCTTACAGCCCAAATATGTAACTTGTTTCATCAATAAAATGCCAGAAAACTGTAAAATGTCAATCAGTGGTGATGTCCTCAAATGTGTTGTTTTGTCAAAGATATTCATTATAAATTATAAACATTAAGCTGGAATCAGAGAAGCTTCACTTTTTATTTCTTAAAAAACTAGTTAAACCAGTCAATTAATTATCAAAACAGTTGATGATTAATTTAACAACCATTTGAATAATCATTGCAGTTCTACAACTAATCAACAAATAAATATAAAAAAATGATCTATCATTAGAAGTAGATACAGGTTTTCTTTGAAGTTATTTAGGAAGATAAACAGTTGTTTATGTACGCAGCCTATTGCAGCCACACCAGAAAAAGAAAAGCAGTCCCATTATAACATTGAAAGTTTATTGTTCTAACATGATGCTTTTCTCTTTTGACAAGATATTTTCACGTGATTGCGACATACAAACTCACTACACCCATTGAACTTGTTTTAACTTGAGATGTTTCACTCTACAACCCGGTAACTCTTGTTTGAATGAGTTGTATACTGATAAATTGAGAAATAAAATATGACAAAAATACAATATTTGATTAAGTTCTACTTCATGCCAGGGTGAAAACGCAGCGAGACACGCTGGCATTGAGCACAGTGGATGATATTGTGGTAAATTAGATATCCACGAAGCGTTTTGTGCCCCTCCAGCTGATCAATAAGAAATGATGCTTTCCCCAGAGGACTGCGCTCATTTTTCTTTCTGTACAGCACCATGTATTTTAGATTTCTTCTTTGTGTACTGCGCTTATCACATCATCCACTGTGGTCAATACCAGCAGAATCTTGCCATGTCTCCATTCAAGCATTAACTATCATACACATTTACATATATAGAAATTTTCTCCACGCACCTCATTCAAATATGAGTTTCAATAGTAAGAGAAGTTTTGTGCTATGAGGTGTTAAGTTTGCATATTGTAATCATGTGAAAATGTCATCTCGAAGCATGAATAATATCGTACTACATCAATAAACTTTACATTATAAAAAGATACTGATGTGTTGTTCTGTTTCCCTTGTGGCAGCAATATGTTTCCCTGATAAGGGCGAAAAATCTGTAAAAATTCCACAGACACAATCACCAACAGACAATGACTCAAACATCAACGCCCGTGCCCTCTGGTGTAAAAAACATTTCACATATTGATACTCATTTAATGCGCGGTTGGCATATCTGTTCTAACCTTTATGTCAAACACTTTAGATTCACAAACACGTTGAGAGTCACATGAAGCACAAGGCAACTATTTCTCAATCAGTCTGACTTATTTAAAAGGGACTCACAAAGCAGTGTTGTTGTTGTTGTTGACCTGCCATCTTGCTAAACACATTAAAAATCTTATTAAGTTTGTTAATAAAGAAAAATAGCAATTAATAAAAGCAGAAAGTCAGAATACTGAAGTGTATGTCTGTTCACCCAAAACCATTCAAAGACACACGTAGTTTTCATCAATTACTGACTCTAAATATTTATATTCAGTTACTACTTGTTGATGTTTTGTATTTAGTTGTCCAAAGATATTTCCAATAATGCTGCAAATAATATGCACATTTCTTTGATGATACAGAGACGGTTCATATTGGTCGCACCAGATTCAACTCTGCAAGACACTGAGCTAACAGAGGTTCAAAGTCTGGGTTTATCTCGACTGAAGTCAAAGTCTAAACTCCTTGCTGCTCTACAACGCCCTGCCAGGCCGTCTCTCCTCTTCGGCTTGATTTACTGCAGCGCTTTTGTTCATTTTTGTAGCACTGTCTTGTTATTTGTGATATTTGCAGCTGTTGACGTGTTTTCAACACCAAGAGCTGCTCAGAGTTATGAAACAGCTTAACCTTGGTTTCATTTGTTGAGCGCATTCGAGACAGGCCTTTCACAAAAGAAACACGACTTGTTTGAAACGCTTTGAGGTTCGTTTTGAGGTGCAACATAACAATCTTGAAATATGGTATTTCTTTAGTCCTTCAATACATTTTACGATTGTTAAACTCTGAGCACCTGTAAGACTTTAGCAGACGCCGAGTCAAGATGATGAAGCCTTCAGTCATCGTTTTCGTGTGGGAGCATAGCTTTTGTTTGATAATGCGGCGTTAACGGTTTGTCGCCCACAATAAAGACATTCTGTAGATAATCTCATAACTGGTTAACATTTCTAGAGATTAGATGCAGTTGGAAGCTGTGAGAAAATGCCAGAAAATTCAAAAATAAAGTCAAATACAATCAGAACTGATCGTATGACTACATGTACCTCGGATCAGGTAACTTTTCCATTAGGGGTAACCAACGTTTACAAGTTTCCCTTTCCTAACGACCACCTTTGAGGGCTAAATGACACATCTGTGTAGCTGCCTTTTCCATTGCAGGAACGGCTTTTACTTTGCTGAACTGCTTTAACCCCCAAATGTAAAGATTTTTAGAGTGATGACTCATGGTAAAGGTTTAGTTTGGACTTTTAAAGTGGGATGGTATGAGGCATTTATTCATAGTTGGTATATTACCCACAGTAACCGTCACATGTCCTGTATGGAGAGACATACATGGGTGGCGGCACAGAAGTGAAGCAGTGCAGCTCTCTGGACGGAGGGCAAAAATCTTTAGCCGTCTAAAATATCTAAAATTAATCACAGTTCAAATGCGTGTGTTGTATTTAGAAAACTTGTACCGCTTACTTTCCTGTAAAGCCACCGCTGACGGGGAACTGAAACCAACATTATATCACCTTTTTCAAAGCCACAAGACTTGACTGATAAAAAGACTAATTTGACATTGCAGAGCACAGAAGTTGTGGATCTACTGCTGCATCGATTGGTTGGTCTGCTTGTCTTAATTTGTGACCTAATGCTTTAAAAAGTTAGTTCAGAACCAAACTATCGTCTAAAAACTAATTGATGCTGACAATGCAAGAGCAGCAGGTGAGGTAAAATTCCTTTTTTTGTTCATGAAGTCTGGTGGATTTGAAGAGAGCGATATAACAGCTTCAGGCAGAAATGGATTCCAAATGACATGGGAAAGCGGTAAAAATAATCTAAATAGAAGCTTACACTTTAGGTGGGTCATTTTTTTGGTGGCTGAAATACATTTTGCTGCTCCCTTGACGAACAAGAGTCCATTGTGTGCCAGTGTTCCTTTCTGCTTCTGAGAACAGTGACTGCCAACGCTACTGTAGGCAACACACTGACTGGAGATAAGTACCTCATAAAGCCACACTTCAAAAAATTCTAACTAACCCTTCAAGTTGACTGGCAGTAAAAAGAAGCTTTAAATATAGGGGGCCACGAGATGAACATCCGACACATGAGCGGTCTGAATAGCTAGTGAATCAGTCGCAAACAAAAATAAAAATTTGTCCTCATAAAACAAGAAAAAGTCACAAATTCTTACATTTGATACTCTAGAAGTAACTCTACTAGATATCTGACAATCTCTGTGTTTGCCAAACAAGTGGAAATTCAAAAATCGCTGCTTCAATGAAAGTCAGGGGTGAGAACCATGAGTAAAATCCACGGTCACAGGTCACTAATATATTTAAGTTATACTGTATGTACGTATAGTATATTACTGTATATTCTGCATTTTTCTAAAATAACATGTCAACTATTATTATATTTTCTGAACTCTTATTGTAACAATTGACTTCTGTATCTCAATACTGTACTGGCATAAAAAAAAAAAGCCCACATATTTTGTGATTATGGAAATCTGATGAAACCTTCGTTTTTTAGATGTGGTTGAGTAAGATTCTCCATTTGAAGAAGGTCAGATTAAAGACTGCACAAAGGACGAGCATGACAAGGCAAGGTGACAAATCTGAGTAGGAAGGTGTTGGATGAATGACTGATAATATTAATCCTGTAGGAGTGGTAGTTGCATATATGTTTATTAATCTGTTTCACACACTTTTCTCCTTTATCTTGATCTCTTGCTTTTTGCTCTTGTCGTCTCACACAAGTGTTGCGTTTCGGCTACATCGCCCATTATTTTGCATATAATCTGCAAAATAATTGTAGTCACTATTATGTTACAGAAAGAAAAATGAAAAAATAGGATTGCTTTCATGTACCAATGTGGCCTACAATAAAAACATTCTTTAAAAATGTTTAGATATATCTTTTATTTTTAGAAAAAAAACTGAGGGTAATCACAAACAATAAGAAAAAAGTCCTGCTTCAAAAATCTAAAATTACCTTACAGTTCCTGCTTATTGCTTCGTAATGTAGTCCACAATCGACAAAAAAAAAAAGTGACACTTGACATTCTGTACTACAATGTGATGAAGATGGTGACACAAATATCAGAAAAAGATGGTCAGAATTGGAGGCCTGACAGTTGAGTCAATGATGGATTTTCCCATAAATGACAATATGTACCCGTGAAAGTTTCATGACCTACAAAAACATTTGTTTTAACAGGCTGACTGTATATGAGTGGTCAGACCTTGATGTGTGAAATTGGTGGACTTTCCCTTTGATACAGGGGGTAGTTATTGTGGGGCTCTTGTATAAGTATGTACTTTATTTTTAAGATGTGTCTCATAAGCTTAACTCCAAATATCAATGGTAAAAAAATAAAAAATACGAGTACAGCAATAAAATCCATCTGTGGCTTTTATAACTGTTCTTGCATGATTTTATTGTATTTGACAGGGCAACGGTGCAACACCTTCAGCATACAGGACGTGACAGGGTGCATCCTGTTTGTAAGGCTGACTGAAAAAGTAAGAAAAATAAAAGCGGAAAGGTGAGTGAGACAGAGAGCGAGACTGATTGACAGACAGACTGAAAACTGTGTGAGAGAGAAAGTGGACGGATGAGTCAAAAGGGGGAAAAGAAAGACATCTTCCATTCACACCCTTCTTTGGGCAACCTCACCTTGCTTTCCTCGAAGCTTGTTTGTGAACTTTGTGAGAAGACAAAGGAGTGGGCAGAGAGACTCACCCTGCATGAGGAAAGTGCTCAGCAGCTGGTCTGTGGCCACGGGCTTGATCTCTGTTCGCAGGTTGACATTTCGACCCACAACCAGAGGTGCTCTCCTGAACCCGAGGATCCTGCAGAGCGACAGCACATGATATTAGAGGATTACAACAGAGAAACGCTGCTCCGCTGGTAGATCAGAGACAATAGATGTTAACGCTCAAATCAGGATGGCGACAAACCTGTCCAGGTGAAAAGCAGCCACCTCAGCGTTGTGTCGGTCATAGCCTGCGTATGGCTCTCCTTCAACCACGTAGTCTCTGTTGTATCTGAACGAGGGTGTAAAGAGTGTAAACTTAATCAAACCTAAACAGAAGATTCGAGTGCGTAATCCCATCTTTAATGTGTCTGACCTCTTGGGTTTGAAGACAACTTTTTGTCCTCCGTCCAACACCAGCAGGGCTTTGAGCTGCGTGCCCTTGTAGCCCACGTCGGCCCGTTCTATCCTGGCAGTGCTCAGGGCCGTGAGCACGGCGGCCAGCTCAGGGGTCTCCTCAGGGTACACCTCTCTGGGACCCACCCACTGGCTCGCTATCTCCCACGGAGACTGCAGGGTGTGGGTGAGGCGAGCTCCTCGAGACAGAGAAAGACCGGCTTCCATCTGTCACAGTTGAGTGATTACTGTTAGTTGAGCTACACAGAGTTTGTTGACATTCAGGTGCAAAGTAACCAAAGAACAGGAGAGAAACACTGACAAGGAGGATTCAGTTGCAGAAAAGAAACTCCTTCAGTTGTAGGGCTGAAGAATTAATGTTTAAAATAAGTTTGTTTGGCACAGTAACATGAAAAGATCTTATTCAAGCATGAAAACATCTTGTTGGAACCATAAACTTTCAACAGGTTTCTTTTTCTGGTACGGTAGCAACAGGATATGCACATAATCCACTGATTTTACTCCTAAAGAACTTCAAAGAAAGCCTGTATCTCCTTGTAATGTCATTTTTCTCAGACTTCTATTTCATTGTTGACATGCTGTAGAGAAAATAATGTCTGAAAAAAAGTAGGATGAAGTTTAACTTATTAGCTCCTATCTGGTACATGTCTGTACATTCATTTACGGTTTACCTGTTTGTTCAAACCTTATACTTTCATACCTCTTTCGAAAACCCAAGAACACATTTACTGTTCCACATTATTTCCTTTTGCTGTCTTTTTTTTAAATTTTTTGGTATATATATCTTTTTTTTAGAATTCTTTTTAGGGTTGTCCTTGTTTTAAGATTATTATCCAGACCTTTCCATAAGTTGTTGTGAATCAGTGATATATAAATAAAACTTGGGTGAACTGAATTGACCAAAACTGCAGCTGCTTAACTAGTTTCTACCAGCATGTAAGGCGAGATGATTGGTAGATTGTGGTGTCAATGGATAAATGATTACTGATCACGTGAGGTCATTAGTCTCTAGAAGATGCACTGAATTCATGTGATAAAGAGACTGATTTTAACGCAAAAATGTGTCCATTTGCAGAAATGTAGCAATAAACATGATGTAATGAGTGTACAAGTAAAATCAACCACGAATTCTTAGATTATCAATTATCTATACGTTCATTTTATGTCAATGTATCTCTGTTGTTGGGGAACTATTTTCATGTTAGTCGAGCAACTTTCATGTAGCTCAGCATAATTGTTGAAGAGTTTCTGAAGGGTCAAAAGGATAAAGGTCTGAGGCCAACCTCTTCCTGTCTCTGGAAAGTTGGACTCAGCATTTCTTACATGCTTTGAAACACCGTACCATCGGGTTTAAACTAACAACCTATTTACAACAGGAAAAGGGTTTGTGTTCACTATAAGAACTAATACAGCCATACTTCTTCTTTGGAGGGAGAGAGGAGTAAGGTCACTTCCCCACTGAACTGAAGTACTTTCATCTCCAACAACATTAAATTTAAAGACAGCCCAGCAGTGTGTTTATTATTATTCATTGGTAGAACCCAGGTGTAGCATTTCCCCGACACATCACACAAGCTAGAGATTTTTCCCATCAATAAAACTCTCCCTAATGACAGCAGAGTTTTTTATACATCTGTTTTTCAAGGCTAAAAAAAAAAAAGTTGCACCCTGACCTTGCGAAATGCTCTGAGGTCCCTTCGGGTGGCTGCAGATCCTTCACCTCCATCCAGCAGGAAGATCTTGGCCAGGCCCAGCAGGAGGAGCACGGCACACAGCACCACCATGCGCTGTTTGAGCTTCATCTCCACGCTGACCGGCCCCGACCTCCTCGTCGCCCGACGCTGTGTTTGTCCCCCGAAGCGAGTCCCCCTCCTCACCCCCGATGCATGGCCCCTGCAACTCCCCACCACTGTCAAGACTTCTGAAGGACGGAGGGCTTTGGTGCCTTTTCCCTGGAGCTACAATCTGGGCAAAACAGGCAGGAAGAGAGCAGGGAACTGAAATGAAAGAGACAAGAGAGGGAGAGAGAGCGATGAAAGATGTACCGTCAATAACATGTGGAGAGAAACCCGATTGATTTGCCGCCCCTCTAGCTTGTTTCCCTCCAGGGCAGAGGGTGACCCAGTACTGCAGCAGCACAGCGTCAGGACGCCCTGTGTTAAATGTGTGTGTGTACATTCATAAGTGTACCATAAAACTTGCTCTGTTTGCCAGCAGCTGAGTGGACTCTGACTCTGGGTGCTGTTACAGGCTGAGGCTGTGTTAAAGCTGTGGTGGGGCCATATTTACAGCATCCCTCCCTCTTTCTCCAGCTCTGGATGATAAAAATGTACAACTCCTGTCTTTTATTACTGAGCAGAGGGGAGATGATGGACACTGCTGTGGTGCAGAGGAGGTCAGCCGAGGTGGTGGACCCAGCAGAGAGGAAAATGACCCGTGTAATTAAAAAAAGAAAAGAAAAAAAACCCTTCATCTTTAGCTCAGAAAATGGGCTGTAACGTGGGGCGTTACTTGTCAGCTCCTAGTACCACAACTGCCACGTTTACCTGACAGTTACCTGCTGTCCTTATGGCTCGCCAGCTAACCGTGGCAGAATAACAACAAAAGCGGCCAATAGCGACCTGAAACATGAGAATTAACGGTTTTACAGCTCGGTTAACTCACGTTTAGCCACGCAGGCAGCTTCTTCTCCCGTACAATCGCTCTTTCATGGTGCCTCAACCGCCGTGAGAAAACGGCCGGGCAGCGCTGACCGCATAAAAAACCCCTGAACGCCGCTTCCCCCCCCACGACAACTCCTCGGTTATTAGCATTATTGTTTCACTGTACCCACCACGGTATGTTCACGTCTACCTCGGCGGAGCTAGCTGCTTAGCAAAGCGCCGTACACCTTGCTGAGTGTGTTAGCTAATACAGGCTGCTAGCTGCATACAGTGCGTCGTCTGTTGTGTTTACGGGCTTCACTCACCTTCCGTCCGCTCACTGGATGTAAAGCGGCTCCCAAGTGTCCCTGAAGTCCCGCAGTGTGGCGAAAGTTGAACGTGTTAATTCGGCTCGGTGCTAAAAGTCACGGTGGTTTGTCTTTTTTTTTTTTTTTTTTCTCAATCCCCTCGGTGGCTCCCTTTCCTCCGCCCTTTTTCTTCGATTCCTTCTCTGCCCTGCCGTGTCCACTTCCGAAACACTTCCCCGTCCTGCAGCGGCTGCGGGCGGCCGCCAGGTGGCGACGTGACACCGTAAAAACTCTAAACAGGACGCACGAAGAAAAGCAGCGCCCCAAACTGACACATGTCAATTTTAAAGGCGGACCGATATCGATGTTTTTTTAAAGGGGCAATATTACTTTTTAGTAATCAAGGAGCTCAATAATCAATATTCGAAACTGATATACATTTTATTATTATTAGTAACATTATTTTTGTATTTTGATTTGAAAGTAACCTAACAAATGTAAGTATTCAGGTTAAGCCCCAACATGTTATTTATGATTGAATTTTATCTAAGTAATTTGCATATTTGGGATTAAAACTCTACCTTAGTTACTTTTAATGTACTCTATATTTATTGTTTACTCTATATTTATTGTTATATTGTTGCACCAACCCACCAGAATAAATTCCTCGTATTGTGTAAACTATACCTGGCAATAAATCCGTTTCTGATTCTGACATAAGTTATGTAAAAATACTGCTTTTCCTGACTACAATACATATTAAGGCTGAGACCCTACAATCTCATTAAATATAGAGATTAAGTCAGGCTAATGTAAGACCCTACAACATCATACACTGTAAAATAAAATGAAATAAAGTAAATTTAAAAATACTTTTAAAATCTAAAATTTCAACAATTTACTGTTATTTTACAGATTTTATTTATTTTACAGATTTTAACTGTTAAATAGTTGATAGTAATTTGTTCTTATACGTTTGACTGCTAAAATTACACAATTGTTTACTATATTTAAATCAGCAGCAGTTACTTGCAGTTATCTGTGATTATTTGGAACAAAAATTATGTATTTTAAAGTTTAAAAAAATGCTGAAAGTAAATTAAATTTTCTGCTTAGTTAAATTATATATAGTAGCAAAATCAAAAAATATATTAGTTTACATGTTAACCATAAAAACAACACACCAAAACTACCATACATCCATCCATCTTCTATACGTTGCTGTATCCTCTGTATAGTTGCTGGAGCCTATCCCAGCTGACATTTGGCACGGTACAAGGTGGACAGGTTGTCAGTCTATCACAGGGCTACACATAGTGAGACAGACAAACGGTCACATTCACACCTACAGACAATTTAGAGTCACCAATTAACCTCAGCATGTTTTTAGACTGTGGGAGGAACCAGAAAAACCTAGTGAGAACCCATGCAGGCTGAGATTCAAACCCGGGACCTTCTCGCTGTGAGGCGACAGTGCTAACCACTGCATAACCACCCAAACTACCAATACCAAATCAAATATCTGTATATTTACAAAAAGTAATTTGTTATTTCACAATATGTGATTGTAAGGTTATAAAGTTTGAACACTACATTATTCCATCACTTTTTTAAGGTAGTTTTTCTGCCCCCCCCTGTTTTTTTTTTTTATGTAAACAACAGAACTCAGCCTTACTGATATAAATATTATGGCCACAGTCCTTGATATGAGGACCAGTGCAGATGACGCATACCTATTGTTGTATGAATAGAACCATGTGCGCATCAGCTGTCTGCTTTCAAAGTCTGCGTTGGTCTCCATTGCGTGCAGTATGAATACAGTTACAGCAAACTACTTCTTCATAGTATTACGCCTTGTGTTTTAACTGTTTTGCTCATATATCTGTCGCAATTTGCAGTGTGAAATCACCTATTTGCGCATTTTCTGAAGCTCAAGCTTGTTACACAACTGAGACATTGCGATGAAACTTCCGCTGTGCAAGGGATTGTGGGTCAGAGTGGCCAGAACAGCTGGTTTGGTCTCCATGCTGCCACACAAGCCCAGATCTAGTAGAACATCCGGATATATTTGCATTTGACATACTATGTATTGGGATCTGTTGTATATTTTTCAGGTGTACTATTTAGTATGGTAGTAGGGATATTGGAAGACACTATTACTAGTGATACATAAACAATTACATGTGAGTAAGACATGGTGAAAATCACAGAATGGTGACTACAAATGGAGAAGCTGCATTAGAGCCAAATGAGCACGTTTAAATGAGTGTATTTTTTAAAATCAGAAATTGCTTAAAAACAACCATACTCAGAATAATGTTGTTATAAGAATTGAAAGCCCAGAGAAAGAGGGATTCTGTAAACACTGTACATTTGCACAAATAGAGACGGCGGTCCAACTGTTTGCTCTTCTGTCCTCTGTATGTTTACAAGGAATATCGGTCACATTGAGTCATTAGTTTATTTTCAGCAAATAGCAGGATGCCAAATAGTTTTGTTTTTTTTCCACAATCTAGTCTTATATGGTTAGAATTCATTTTGCACAGCGCATTTGTACAAGTCTGTTTCTTTTCCAGTGTAAATACTGTATATATTTTTTTCAATCTATTGTATATTTTTGTTATCTTGTGTATACACTTGTTTTTTTAATTTATTATTTCCTAGTACTTCTTTTCTATATTTTGGCATGTAGATTTCTCCCAATGAGGGATCAATAAAACATTCTATTCTAGTATAATTTGTCAACTTTTTGCTAACAATAATCTAGAATATTTAATGTTCAACTAAATTAGAATAAATATAGCTTTAAAAAAAAGAACCCACTCTGTTTTGTTTGCCTTTCTTTAAACCAACCACAGTCCTTTTGGGTGGTGCTAAGCAACACTGCCCTCTCAAAATAGTGATGTGGGAAGTGTTTTGGTGGAATATTTGTATGCAGGTAGGTGAGCACGCACACAAATAAATAACAGGGCTGCCTGATTGCACAGTCCAAACCATCCTCAAAACTTCAAATTTTCAGTGTGGTAGGTTTCTAGTGCAGAGGTTGTTGTTATTTCCAGCAGGAAAGAAGATTTTGAAAACAGTAACACAATAAGGGTGAGGGGAGGCCAATGGGCAGGCAAGCTACATCCAGTGAGTCAGACTGTCAGGAAAATGCTGCTTTAAGTGAGAAAAAATGAAAATCACATAACACATTTTTACTGATTGAACTCTCACTGCTAAAGGATCTAATGTTTGTTAGTAATGTTAATATCTATAGTGTAATAGATGATTATAACATGGCAGAGTAATTCTTAGTTAAGACAATGTACTAAGTTATTTTTTTTTTTAAGTTGAGAAATTAAGATATTTTGTTGATTGATTTATAAATCTTGATTCTTTATAACAACATCTTGGTAGTACTATCACAAAGAATCCCTACCAGTGAGGAAACTCTGCAGAATAACAGCTACAGTAACTCCCAAAGTCATTCTTACGGCTCTGCAGCAATTTATAAAGCTTGAAAAAGGCTGCAACTGATTGTCAGGAAGTAGTGAGACGTGTAATACCACAATTCACAGTCAGGAACACACGGCTACGCCTCATTTCACAGTCACACACAACCTTCAGCAGAACAATGAGCATAAAACCGATGTGTGGAGTAAAAAAGGGCAGAGTGTTTATTGGTTCTCAGTCTTCACACTTGGCAGCACATCACTCAGAAGTGAGGTCACAGTGCTCGCCGACAGTCATGACACAGGCAGAGACAGACGCACTCAAAGCCAGGTGAAGGTCATTTATACATCGCACCCCCCCCGTCCACGTGGGTGACTTGAACAGAGGCTGCTGCTGTCCTAGGTAAACAGAACGGACTAACACTTCCTCCGGTTGAACCCTTCATCTCAACTGTTAAACATTTTTTACATGACCGTTAAAAAGACTGAATTCAGAAGGCGATTCACTCAAAATAGTTCACGCGGGGGCAAATTGTGCATTTGCAGACAGTGTGGTCAGTTTAAAGGAAACAACACGAGCTTGTAATGCAGCGAAGGGGAATTTTTTCAAGCATGGAATCAAGTTTCTTCATAAAAACCAAACATTATAATTAAATGAAGAGCGGCTGGCATTTTATATTTCCCGCTCTCACCCAAAAATAGACGACCGAAGGGGCGATAATGTTAGTAGTGACTGGTATCAAATCCAAGAAATGACTAGACTAAAACATCTGTGTTTCCATCATTTTGACCATACACTGTACAGAAATGATAATAAAAAAAAAAGAGAAAAAAAGAGAAAAGAATGTAAACTCAGGTAACAGTGAGGAAAACCTCACTAAAAGCGCTCAATATGATCTGGGTATTTCTCAAAAAGAAAGATTGTTAAACCCAAATGATTTCAAATAAACCTTCCAAGACGTCCCCAAAAGCACTTCTCTGGTCGGGTTCGGTATAAAACTTTCAACTCAGGAGTCGACATCGGTTACATATGTTGCCATTTCATTTGTCTTTTTCTTTCATAATTATTAATTAACATGAGATAAAGCGAATACAAAGAAGGGAAACGTGATGGGGACCGTCTAGAGTTTGTTTACATGGCAGCTCCTTCTGTGCACAGTCCTTTCTGCAGACCCTGGAAAGTCTTTAGCTTTAATTCTTGCTTAGCTGCACAAACGTAGTCAATACATTGCAAATGATGGCAGGTTAAGCTTGCCTGAATGTCAGGTTAAGAGAGAGTAACCAGTGTCTGCAGATAAACACGGGTAAACAGTCTCTCAACCACCCACCCTGATCTCTGTCTCAGCCATTTCTCTCGTTTCATTCGCAGCCCTCTTTAGTCTCTTTAGCCAACCAGTAGTATTCAAAGACCAGTCAGCCTCCACAGTGCTTCACTCTGGGACGTTCTCTGCTCCATTATGCAGCTTTGGCCACAGAGGACGCAGACAGATGAGTTCAATTTCTATCTAAAGGGAACCTCTCGTCATACTTCCGGTACAAAACGCCCCGGAAAGGAGTCAGTCACACACTCTATTAGGTAGCTGGTTACCCCCCACTGCTCAGCAGTGATGGCAGCCTTGAGGAATTGCCTAATCTGGCTTGAATTACAATGCTTTTAAAAAAATAGAGCCGTATGCACAGGCACACAAATGCACACACATACTTGCAGAGACTGTCACATTACACAGGCCTGTCTTTGGCTTCCTCATTCATTCCTCCACAGGTTCATCCACTACAATGTCTCCTTTTAGTTAAAGTACAATGGACTGATCACATCTTTCAAGGTACTAAACTGACTTCAGTTTGTAAAGTTTATCTGAACTAAATAAAGCTAGCTAAGTTGGATTGTTAGATTGTACAATATACTGTGTTGAAGACATGAATTGGGCATTAGCCTGGTAAGGAGGGCAAACTGTAAAAGGACATTAGAGAGGAATCTGTGCTGCGAGTGTGGATATGTTCACCCATCCTTCTGATCGTCAACAGCCTAAAACTAGCTCCGAGCTTAACTGATAGGTGGGACGCGTTTTCTGCAGAATGTTTCCTGCTGAATACAGTACACATGGAGCAGAGAAGGGATTGTGATATCAGGGAAAAGACTGTGTAAACATACAATGTAAACAGCTGTTTGAAAAAAATTCAAATTTGATGTTGGGAGTATTATTGGGCGAAAAAGCACCTCGTCATTGTCTTCACCACCACCCTGCTCATGTTTTCACAAAAACAAACAGCGATAAGTCTATCTGTGGCACACTGACACGTCTGCAATGCACAGTGGAAGCTGGAAATCCCACTGAAACAAACCAGCAGCTACAACCAATTACACTGCAGCTTCCTAATATCACCTCATAGGCTTGGCACTAATTATAACCAAGGTGCTTTATGCTGTTTCCAAATCAGATGCAACATTGTTAGGGCCTAAAATTGAGCTGGGTCCTGGTTAACAGTACAATGGGCAAAAAAAAAAAAAAAAAAAAAAAATCACATTAATGTAACATATTCAAAATAAATCCTCAAAAAGGGGAAAACAAGGAAAGAAAAATGTAACATTCAAATGTAACAGACAAAACTACATTGCCGTGCAATCGATTTACTACATAGTAATACTGTGAACTGCACCATCCCTCCCCCCAAAAAAGGAAAAGAAACTAACAACACAAACATCATAAACAAACAAGATTTAAAACAGACTCTGTATGGCTCCAGGTAGCTTTGAGTGTCTGCTCCAGACCAGAGGCTCCAACCATATTAAACAACAAGGAGAAGAGGAGATAAAACCATGGATCATGAGTTCTTGTTGCTCTCTATCTTGGACTCTTTCACAGTTTCAAGTCTTTAGTGTTTTGCATGTGTGAGTCCGGTGAACCGAGTGTTGCCTTTTGTGAGCCGACGTCGGGCGACGGAGAGCAGACAACACCGGGGAACAGAGAAATGCAGGTTTGAAAAGGAGAAACTCTTGTCTTCCCAATTATGAACATGTCTTAGCTTAGATTCTGGGATTATCGTACCTATGTGGGAACACAGATATGATTCCTCTAATTTAAGCGAATCCCCACCACAACCCCCTCATCCAATGCAGTTATAGAAACACACACACACAACATACATACATAACACTTGACAAAAAAAAAAAAGAAAAGGGGGGCTAAATTCTGGTAATAAAAACTAGACACATTCAGGAAGTGTGGGAATTGTTTCTGCTGGAATTGATTGCGAATCAGAGCCCTTACGTTTACAACGATGCAATCAAATAGGCTTGTTTGTGTTTGTGTGTGTATGTGTGTGTGTGGTTCATGTAAATAATTCTGTGACTTTAAGTCAAGTGACTGAAGCGACCAACAATTCAAAGTGTGAAACAAGTAAGTAAAAAGGTGTTTTCAAAACCCTCCAAAGTCCAGCGGGTTAGTCCGATGTGAGTGTGCGTGCTGTGATTGTGCATCCAGCTGGATAAAAGGTGGAAATCTTGCATTCGAGCATGGCAGGGATTCAAATAAAAATAGTTAACCCCTTGAGGAAGAAAAAAAAAACGTAGTAAAGAAGAGATTATTTATGTCCCACAGAGGACAGTTTGTCGGGGAGAGAGGAGAGGTCAAAGGGCTCCACTGAAGTGCTGAACAAAAGACACCGAGAGCAAATGGGAGACAAGAGCAGTGGTGCAGGTCCTTGTTCAGTAGTCAGTACATCCAAAACAGTCATCTTCATCCACATTCACTCTCACAGACACACACAGACACGTACACATACACACAGGGTAACTCTGGTTAAGGCAGTGGTGGCAGGTGAGGCTGCAGTGAGGCCAGGGCTAGAATCGGAGAATCGGCGGTCAGGGCTCATGGCAGTGAAAGCTCCCACTACTGAGTCAGTGCTCCTCCTCATCTTCCTCGGCTGCTTCCTCGTCCCCTCTCTCTCTCTCTCTCTCCTTTGCGCTGTCGCACTCCTCGGCACAGGTCACTCAAATGACATCAGATTGGCTGGCACCTGGGAAAAAAAGTGGCATTTATGAAGCACAGGTAATAACTCAACTCTGTGTGTGTGTGTGTGTGTGCGTGTGTGTGTGTAATTTCATACCTGTTGCCTATTGCTCTGACAGGCAGCACTCAGATGTTTGAACCAGAGCAAAGCGTTCATTCTGTTCCCCGCCTGGTACTTGTAGGTGTTACCTAGGCAACAGAGACAAACAGCGTGAGGTGCCAGGTCTCTCGTTTCCACCTGCTCTTTCGATGGACTGGAAAGACTTGATGTTGGCCGGCTCGATAAAACAAAAACAAAAGTCACGGTGAAGAAGTTCAGGGCAAAGTCACATGATTTGCGTGTGTGTGATGTGCAACAACAGCTGCGTACGAACATGAAGAATACCAGATATGACGAGTATGCGGTGGCTGAAGTTGACAGCTTAACTGACTAGTATTTTCCAATGTTTCTGAAAGCAGCATAACAGAGATGAAAATATTATTGTGATTTACAATGAGGCTCTTGTTTTGTCTTGTGTTATAAATCAATTGGACCCTTATCTTTTGTACGCTTACCCGTAAATCCTAAAAACCAAAATAATTACCAAGCGTTGGATTGTTCCCCTACTAGTGATGAAACACAAGCTGGGGCTACACCATCATAAGGCAGTATTGTTTTTTGAAAAAGGAATCCTGCTCAGTACAAGAAGACATTTGGTGTCTGTGTTTGGTGAGGAGCCGATGGTGTGACGCTACCATCTGCAGGTCTGCGACTCAACTCCTGCCCAGATGTGATGTTACAATATCGACGTGGAATTTCAGTTAGTTCCTGATACATTCCGTGTCTGTGGAGAACCTGGTGCTAAATAATTGACCTCATTTTTCTCTTTTTGTTATTTTTGAGTTGACCTACATTCAAAGTTTAAGGAAATCCACTGACATTAAAAAAAAAGCAAAGTTTAATAAATACATGATAAATCTCAATATTAATATATATATGATAAATAATCGATCTTTCCATAATTGAGCAGCAGTAGTTGACAGGGAGACTCACTGTTCACTACGATGGACACAATCTGATTTTGTCTGTCTACAGTTTCACCATCTGTGTTCATTTCCACAATGCAGACTATGATGAGAAATCCTGATTGACAACCTTCATGTCACGGTTAAAACAGGCTCATCTTATGTCCTCTTTAGTGAGCAAACATCTGCTGGTAAAAAGCATCTTGTGTTCAGTCTGTCATTACTGTGTGATTCAACTTCTCCTCTGGAGCTAGACCCAGACAGAGAACAGCATATTAGGGAACAAGGGAGCGAAACAGTGTCTGAGTTAGTCGCTGCTCTGCAGTTGAGGCAGCTGCAGTTCTGCTAATGTTAATGCTGCGAAAGCAAGACAGACAAAGAGAAAGTGATTTTTTAAAATGTTTTGATTTACTGAGGAGAGTCAGGCTGCTGCATCACTGTCTGTCGCTGATAAAAAATAAACTGCAACTAATAAAACTCTGAATTTACTAAAGCTTATATGCATTTTTTTTGTTAAAATACTGGAACAAAATCAAAATGAGGTGCCACAATAACCACTATTAGACGCTATTTAAACTAAGCTGCACTGGCAGTTTGCCTTTTCACTGCATCAGCTTTCAGACACCTGACAGCTCGTTTGTGTTCATCCTTTCCCCTCTTTGTTTTTGTTGTTTGTGTGTACATGTGTCTGTGTTAATGAGTCTCACCATGCTCCGAATCGGTCAACAAGAAGACATCCGGATGCTCGGGATCGTCTGCCATCATGGCCATTAGGCCGACCACACACACGCTCTTACTGGACGTGGACTTGAACTGGAACGAGTGAAAAGATAATTAACTCTCATAATGTCTCTGCTCGTCTACACGCAGAAATACTAACGCAAACTTTGTGCGTGTGTGTAACCTCTTGGTCCTGCATGTGCGCTCCACAAGGTTCTCATTATGCCGTGAGTGACACAGCGGACTGCAGTGATGTCATTGCTCTCATTATTCAGTGAGTGCTACCAGCTGTGTGTCCCCCCGCTGCACCGGACCCGACCAGTCCCCTCACTCATATACATTTACACAAAATCCACACGTTTCCAGCTCTTATTGGCCCATCCTGCCTCCTTTTCTTCCCCGAGCTTCTGTACAGTTTCAGTCAATGTTCTTGATCCAATCCAACCACTCACTCACTCACACACATCCAGGGTACTTGTTTTTTTTTCCTTCCTTTCTTTAAAAGCATGTCAAAAGTACATAAAAATGTGCAGCTTTTTGTCTTCATTTTCCTTTTCCCTGTGCATACCAAGAAAAATAACCATTAAGTGTTTTTCTCTGAGTTTATTCTGTAATTAAGAGTGAGTAATAGCTCTCATGTGTCATCTACTTATAAAACAGAGTGTGTTTTGGGGTCATTTGGAACATTTACTCTCCCTTCCATCAAACACAATGGAAGACTTTAAGATGTGTTAATGCAGTTACGAGCAACCTGTTGTCCTCGCAAACACACAGAACCTGTCCAGCACCAAAGATGGCCGTAAATGCATCCTCAGACTGTTAAACAGAGACTGAGGGAAGACCGGTGCGAGTCCACATCTGTGTGACTTACATGTTTTCTCTCAGTGGCCTTCAGGGACTTGGCAGGGTAGTAGTAGAGCTGGGTTCCACAAAGAGCGACCCAGTATTTGGTCCAAGATGCCACCTGGAGGCACAAAAATAGTGAAATCTAGTCAGACATTCTACTTCAGCTGGATTCTGTCAATGAAAACCTACGCTTAGAAGATTTAATAAGGTGCTATTACAGTCCTAATTTGAAGCTTCATGGGAGGTAAGTTTGGAAACACCTACTTTGTTATTTTTTTCCTACACTGCGGAATGATACTGAAGACCAACAAGAGAACTTTTGATCAGATTTATTATCAGTGGAAGCCTGGACATTGGTCTGACGCATCGAGATGTGAGATTTCTGGTTCCAGCGACCCTGAACCAACATGGCTACTGCAACACGCTGTTACATCCCATCTGGTTCGAGCTCGCCATCATTCCTTTTGCAGGACAAGGAGCCAAAACACACCTCCGGGCTCTGGAAAGGTCCGTTTGATCGAGAACAGAGTGATGCAGGGCTGCGTCACATGACCCGACCCCTACCAATCACCCAACTTAAACCCAACTGAGATGGTTTTAGATGAGTCGCACCGCAGCGTGAGGGGAAAGCAGCCAACAAGTGCTCGGCATATGTGGGAACTCCTTCAAGAGCGTTGGAAAAGCGCCAAGTGACGACCTCATGATGCTGGATGAGATATTTCCAATACTGTGCAAAGCTGTCATCAAGGCAAACGGTGGCGACTTTGAAGAATCTTAGCCGCCAAGATTCAAACATGTTGTGATTTGTTTAACACACTGTAGATGCTGTTTCATAGTTGTGTTGTTTTCAGTTTTGTTCTACAACATAGCACTTTTTATAATAAAAGAAAAACCCTGGAATGACTAAGTGTGCCCACCTCATTCAAGTGGAAGAAAGTTCATGGATCAAGTTTTTTTCTTGACTGTGCTCAGTGCAAAATAAGCATCATGCTCCATAAACACGCTGAACACTTGAAAAACTAATACCAGGAAAAAGCGTAGATGGGATGGAGAGAAAACACGAAAAAGAAAAATGAACCAAGTGAACCCACTAATTAAAACTCCTGGTGTGGACGTACTGGCCAGATTAGGAGAAAAAAATCAAAATAAAAAAAAAGACCTTGTTACATCATCAAAGAAGCTCGTAAATCATCCTCACTACCTAAGACAGTGACAAGTTATTTTAAGTACATAAAAAGCTCCTGATTGGTTTGCAGCCAAAACAGAACAGGATAATCTCAGTGCAAATAAGAAAACGGCTTAAGAGGGACAAGGAAAACAAAAGCAATGGGAAAAAATGGAAAGTACAGTCAGAGAGGAGGAGAACTAAAACGAGTGCAGGGAAGGCACAGAAACAGAGACGTGCTGTAGGTTGAGGACTCTCTGAGGTCCTATCTGTGTTTGGCAGACAGTATTTATTACCCGTGCGCTCCTGTATAGTACATATAGGTACGAACAGCACATGGAGAAATGCATGTGTGGCTACCGCTGAGTGTGTGTGTGTGTGTGTGTTCTTACTGTCGGTTTCTTGCCCTCCTTGAGCACAGTCTTCCGTCTCAACACCCCCTGCACTGTGACCGCTCCAGGATATAAGTGAACCGCAAGCTCCTCTGACTCAGCCGAGCTACAACAGGACAAAGACAAACATTACCGGCTATATATACAAACGTACACACGGGGGAGAAACACGCACTCACGCAAACATACCAGATGGAATCAGAGATAAACTAATAGAAGAGGCAGTGGCAATCTGCACAGCAACCTTTAACCCTGCTGTACGCCTGAGTAACTCTTTTTCGTTTTTTTTAACGACACCTTTTTCTGTCTTGTTTTGACAGAATCGAATTTCACAGATATAAATCTTGACACCGCTATCGGCCCGGGGAGGAGAGCGGAGACAGGCAAGGTGGTGTGCAGATTGTGTCTGTCTGGAGGATCAGAGCAGGAAGCTCAGTGCAGGAGTCTAGTGAAGCCTGCTAGAGAGCGAGAGAGAGAGACAGAAAGCGAGACCATCCCTGACCGCGAGGGACGCTTAATATGCAACGTCCATGAGATTTGGCTTTAATAATCCTGAAGGAGTCTGTTCCTTTCTGCTTTAGGAATGAGGATGCAACAGTTTGTTTCCAGTAACACATGGAGCGCAGTGCGGCGGTGGAAACTCCCTTTTAGCTCCAAGCTGTGAAATACCTTGGAAACTTATCACAAGAAGAAGTCTCGGTTTGACTATAATCGCAGGATCTGGAGCACATGGTAATATTAAGAGGTTTTTTTTTTTTTTTCCTTAGGTTTTTAATAAGAAAGGGCTTTCAATACGGTGCTCTTATTAAAGTGCGGGAGCTTATTAAAAGCTTTTAATATTACTCCATGTGCTCCAGATCTCAGTTGTCCTTTTCTGTTAAAACCAACACTTTGAACTCTAGCTAGCTGACGCAGAGACTCCCACGCCTCGACCTTAGCCTCAACATGTGTGTGTGAGAGTGAAACAGACATGCAAGAAATTCTAGAAAGCAAGAAGGCAGATTGGAAACTGATTGATCGCAGCGAAAGATGAGAGAGAACAGATCCTTTTTCCCCCTTCACCCGGTTTGTGATTTCACCAACACACACGCTCTTATTTCAAACCACAAGAGCATCCCAGCACTACACACACTCTAAGCACCAGCACACAGCGGCCCCTGGCAGCGACTGAGGGGCGAAAAGTGAGGGTAAGAGAGGGTTTGGTTCAGATGGAGTTGGTACCAGTCGGGATGGGTGTACCTGCTGGGCCTCAGGACTCCTCTGTAGGGGATCCGGGCCACTCGGGTCACTGGGCCCAGAGAGTGATAGAACCGAGTCCTGTTCAGAATAGGATAAGATAGGATAGGACAGGATAGGGGGCACGGGACACTGTTAAGGCTGTGTGGCTGTTTTTTGTTTTTTTTGCTGATTTTCCCTTCAAATTGCATGGGTTAGGGCAGGATGAGGAGCAGTCATTTGGTTAGAGGAGTTACTGATGGATGTGTGCTTACAGGGTTATTCAAGAGTTTAAAGAAAATGGTGTTTTGGAAAAAAGGTTAAGATGATTTTCAGGCTAGTAGATTCCTGAGCTGAGAGGGTTTTTCTCAGATCTGGCGAGTGTGGCTCCAGACACTTGTTGGCACAGGGCGACTGCTGGTTAGGGGATTTAAATGTTAAGCACTTAATGCGTTTTAGGCTTTCGGAGAAGCAGAAGCGTCTTTATATCTTTGCTAAAGGCTGAGAGCAGCAGTGGAGGGATGAAGAATGATGGCCTTGGTTGCGCGGCTAAAAGCAAGACTGTGCCTGAAAAGTGTGTCTGTGTGTGAGAGATTTAATGGCAGATCACTCTGCATAACTGAAGCCAGAGATTTAAAAATTAGACGATCACATCAGGGATGGGAGTGTTTTATGATCTGGTTTTTGCGTGTGGATGTGATGAAAAAGCGTCGCCTACAGAAGCCTACAGAAGTATGAGTTTTACCTCTCAAAGGCTGGCCAAGACACCTCTTCGCTGAGCTCGGAGCCCTCGCTGCTGCCTGTAAACAGACACAAATCATCAGATGAAATGTCACCGACGATGGAAACTGTGTTTGTATAAATATACACACATGTTCAAGTCTTACCAAGAGAAATGCCACTGGACAGAGTAGAGCTCTCTGCTTGTCCCCTGGTGGGACTGTGGCTCTCCATCACACTGTCGTCCAATAGATGGCGAGAACCAGCGTTGGGGAACGTAGCACTTTTAAACTCTACTGTATTCATCTTATGGATAAAACTGTAGAGACAGAACACAGCAAGCGCAGTAATATTAAGAGAAATTTAAGTGTTTTTACTTCAGGACATTAGTGTGAAAATTATGACTTCATTCAAAACTATTACAAGATTGATCCACGTTAACTACCGAATACAAGTTAAAGCAAACACTGACTTGTAGCCCAGGCTGTGGCACTTCCTGTGTCCGTAGGGCAGCAGGTTCCTGGGGGACGGAGGTGTGGCCGGGACTTTGGTTCCTTCAGCTGCTACCGTACACTTACGGCCGCAGAGAGGAGAAGCTGATGCTTCCTGGCCTGCAAGCAACAGTGGGAGGAAAGCGTAGGTTTACAGGTTAAGGAGAGGGTGAAGAGAAGATAAGATAACATAAACTAAGTCTTTAATAATCCCACAGTGGGAAAATTTACAGTGATGAAGCAGCAAAGCAACAAAAATAGGGAAATCAGTATAAAAAATAAAAATAAATGTGGAATAACACAGCAGAAAAGTAGGAGAAGTAGTACAAAAATAAGCTGTTTTTAAAAAAAAAGAAAAGAAAAGACACTCTGGTAACTTGTGGGTGCCAGAGCCAGCTGCCACTAAGTACTATTTTTCTATTATACCAATTAGTCAAATAATCGGAACCAGTAATTTTCCATTTCGGTTCATTTTATGTTTTAGTTTGGTACTTCATGAGTGTATTTCGCAGCTACAAGGGTGAAAGATATTAAAAAGCTCTCTCTCCTAATGAACACGCAGCTCTTAGGGTGGTTTTGCATTCTCTGGCAGCGCATCTTTGCACAATATGCACAACAAGTTTTTGTTATGTGATAATTTGAATCACTCCCAAACTTTCAAAGCCTTGGGTCTTTGGAAACTTTTACACTCAACCGAGTCAGACTCTGCTGCAGCTGCCATTTTAGACAACTGTAGCGCTGAATGCACCTGACTGCTAGCTGGAGCCAAAAGTTACTGACGTCATGATACAACAGTGATGAATGAAGTGGTGATAGAGAACAAAAACACTCTTAATTTCAACTGAAAAAACAATAAAGCATGCGGTTGGTTTAAAACATAGATGCCAACACATTTTCAGCGTTGACTACATTGATTATGCTGAGTAACTGCAGCAGTCCTAACCCTGAATAATAGAAAAAAAAAACACAGATAACACACAGGTTTCATTCTACCATAACCATCAACAGGAGATCTACACTCCAACCCACCAGCTAGATCCTCTTTGGAGGCGTTTGCTCGTGGTGTGCTGGTGCCTGGCTCGATCTTCTGCGACAACCTAAAAAAAAAAAAAATCAGCAATAACGATCTGTGATTTTGTTATGATGAAAACGACTGATTTTTTTCAGCAAGAAATGGAATCAGACTAAAGCTATGTTGATCATCGTACCAGGATTGCTCCAGTATTTATCTACATTCTGTTCTGTATGTTGTGTTTTGTTCCTTACTTGTAATTGTCGTCCTCCACAAACTTCTGGAGCTCCTCGATATACCTGACTGAGTTGAGATACTTCTGTACATGAGGCAACACTGGTATATCTGAGAGAGGGCAGACACAGGGACATTAGGACAAAAACACATGAGATCCCATGTTGACCAAACCTGCCAGGGTACCGTATCTTGGCTAAAGTGTGAAGAAAGTTTTACTTCAAACTTGTCTTCAAATTTCAAGGTCGCTCAAGTCCAGGACACCTCTGGAGCAACATTGCTGCTCGCTAAAAGGTGCATCGCATTTGAAATTGAACCTTTTTCATACATTAGTTAAATATTACTCAAAAATCTGAACCTATTTCTACTGCATGTAAGAACCTCCTGAAGATCATCAGTGGAGTAAACTACATGACTACAGGCATGTGAAGGAATTAGGATTCAGTTACAAAATTCTGGAAATAGTTTGGAACGATGTCTCCTCTGGTCTTCATTTAGCTTTTTGGCCATTTTTCACAAATGAAAAGTTAAAAGTTTGACCAATTATAAACACAGATGAAGGCAAATGATCTGTGTATATTTTATCCAGCTTCACATTTCGCAAAAACACACAGAGGCACTGATGAAAAGCAGAGATTCTTTCATAGTGTCTCCATGGCAACAGGAAATGAAGTGGTAAGGCTATTGTGGTGTTTTCTCCAGCCTTATTACAGATTCTGTCTTTCCCTTAAACTTTTGCGTCTTCACATAAAGATGGACAGATCTTAGGAAAGAGTGATGACTTGTGGTTTACACTCTGACATAAGATTAAACCTCTGAACCCCAAAACCCACTGGCGGGTTTGAAGGGAAAGTTAAATGTAAAGAAAATGGCCAAAGTGACACCATTCATCACAGAGAGAAACAGTAAAAACAGACAGTTTCATTGAATTTTTAACGTTCTGACTGACCTCGGAGCTTCTCATTTGCGAGTGCTGTTCCTTTAGAAAATCTAATCAAATCTTTGCTTAAATTCTCGACTTTTCTTTAAAAATTACTTTATTCTACACATCTCATTAAAAAAAAAGAAAAAATAAATCATTAAAGAGGAAGGACGTGATCTAACCAGATTCTGTAAAAAAAAAAATAATAATAATAATAAGAAGAAGAATTCCACGCTCCTCAGTTCAACTGTGAAACCACTTTGACTCAGCGGAGACCAACAGTCAACTTCAGGAACTTTTAATTTGAACTGGGCTGAACTGCAGGCTGTGTTTACACAGAGCAGATTGGAAACAAATTAAAAGTGCAAATTGCGAAATAGCCATTATGTAGAGTCATCATTTTTTTAATTATTATTATTGGTAGCAGCTGTGGACAAAAAATGTTGTACATGTTAATTCCAAGTTTTTTGAATTGTCATAAAATGACTAATTGAAGACATTCCACTGTTGTTGTTTGTTTTTTTTTTCATGATTTTTGGCACTGTAACAGTGTCATTCTGCACAATAGGCATTTTTAAGTTCTGTGCTGTTTCTGTAGAGGTGCAGGACTTGATACTGCAGTAAAACATTAATCCACAGCGAGTTAAAAAAGTGACAGGGGCAAGTAAAATGCCCATGGGGTGTCCAGTAAACAAGAGGTTGTGGCTATTTGAGTCTCACCGTAGGTACAAGATCTCTGCAGGTCTGATATGATTCTAAGAATGTTGTTCATCAGGTTTGATCTCTGTTCGTTCTCCAGTATGCTGCCCGTGGAGGGGTAGGCTGAGTCTATATACGTCAGATCAGACAGGTACATCCCTGGAAAAAAGCAGAAAAAGATGCATGCATTAAATTAGGAGAAACACACAGCCCTCTTCCTCGTGCGCTCATCGTTCAGCGAGCGTAGGGCCCCAGTGCAAGCCAAATGAGGACAGCGTCCATCTGTCGGAGGTGTTTTTTTCTTCTTTTTTTTTTTTTTAACTCGCCGTTAGGGAGCACAAGGGTTTTCCTGACTGAGCACACAGAGATCAGCTCATTAGGCAGCAAACATGTTGATACAATCAAGGCTGGACATCGTAACACAGCCAGATTTCCTTGGACGCATGATGCAAGTGTCGTGCAGATGTGGTGTCAAAAGCAGCTGGTAATTGAAGACTGTTTTTTTTTTTGGTTTTTTTTACATCCCATGCGTAAAAACAAACAGGAATAAAAACCCTGCACAAACTGTTTGCATAGACTTGCTCGAGTTTCAAACATACTTTTTTTGCCCCCTTGATCTGCTCCCGATGGGTCTAAATGAACGTCCTGAGCGGATGACTGATCCACTCTTCAGCCGTTCCAACTCCAGGCTATCTTTCTCCCTCAGTTCTCTTCTCTCATTGCATCTTTTTGGCAGACTTGGAGCGGAGCTGAGATTCTTAGTCTCTCATTACATAAATATTAACATTAAGGGGCTAACCCAGGAGTGGCTTCCCACCATTTTGAAAAGAGAGATTAACAAGCCTCAGACGTGAACTGATGGTGTGACTTTCCTTCCATCCTCCTCTTTTTCTTGCTCAATGTTTCTTTCACACGCCAGGGTCGAGATTGAGTGCAGATGTAAGAAAAGTTATCACACAGTAGACTACATGACACCCTCGTCCCCTCCTTCCCCCACCTTCCTTGGAAAAGGGTGTAATACTCACAGATGTGTGTTCATGCACGTGCGTTTACAACAGCCGAGCTGAAGCTCAGAGCTGCAAGACCAGATCCAGCAGATGAAAAAAAAACAAAAAAACGGGGCAAACCTCATCTTTAAGATATCATACAGACACACACATCTAAAACAGCATGAGATGGGAGTTAGACAGAGGAGTTGAGAACAGGAGAAGCAGTTTACAGGCATTTGGAGACTCGGCTGGAATGGGGAACGTGAGAGATGGGGAGAAGGAGAGGAAGAGTGGGATCCTTCAGGCTTAACCGCTATAGCTGCTTTTCTGAGAGCATGTCAGGGATAACAGCAGTTAGTCATGCACAAATCCATACTGCCTGGAACACCCACAGACAGATGCGTGCTCAGAGGACCTGTGGTTAGATTACATAGACCCTTCGTATGTGTTTACATGTTGCAAACCTCCTGTGAGAAGATTCTGTGAATTAAGTTAGAAACATAAGTGTGAGAGAGAAGAAGTGCGGCCACAAAACAGGGAGAAAATATCGTCCTCCGACTGCTCCTCCAAGCTTGTTATCTCAAAAAGCTATTTCAAATATTTCAGCAGAAAAAAAAACAACACGTCTCAGACACCTAAACGCATTAAAGTAAATGACAGAGGCGATAAGGAGCACGCAAAGTCCAGACAAGCTCCGGCTCCACCTGGAGCAAGTATTTTTTGCTCCAAATGCACCACAAATCAGTTTTATCTGCCTGCTTTTGTCTCGGGCTCTCATATATCCAGCTGTTCTCTACAGGAAGGCGCTCTGAAACCCCAGCAGAATTACAAACAGCTCTTCCCGTTGCTAAAGGACAAAGCAGGAAAAAAAAGAAAAAAAAAAACCGAGAGGGGAATTGAGTGTTGTAATTGAGGACAAAGGGGTCAAAGTGGCCCCAGACTCAGCGAAAAATACTTCCGAATTCAAACAGGTCTCCTCTCTTTTCACTCAACTCACTTCTTCTCTACAAGAACCATGAAGGCCATTGTTGAGGATGGGAAATTTAATGAGGCAGCTCTGTTATTCTCTTTTTCTGTCTTTTTTTTTTTTCCATCAGAGTGACATCAGAGGTGGGCTGGGCAACTCCAAAAAAATAAAGCGAGGAAGAAAGAAAGAAAGAAGAAAAAAAAAAAGAGGCAATCTCCAACACCCACACCCTCATCCCCCTTCTCCTCCCCTCTCTTCCTCCTTCCCCTCCCTCTTCTCGTCTCCCCCATTCTTAGTGAAAAACTCAAGGCATCAGTGGTTCAGAGCTCAGTCTGTTGAAGTGGCCGGCTTTTGAACCATGCCCCAGCCTGAGCCCCGGGACAGCTAAGTCCACAGAGAGAAGCGCATCTTTTGGGAAGTAGGGGCCTTCGACTAAAGCCTTGTGTTGTGATTCGCAGCAGCAGGACGGAAGGAGCGAGTGGAGGGGACGTCCTCAGAAGACTGGGACAAAGAGAAAGAGACAGAGAGATGAGTCCTGAGCACTGCAGCTCGGTGAAGACACAACACAACACACACGTGAAACTATAACTGCAGGAAATCATCCCCCCCCACCCCCTCCTCCACTACTGGTAACCAAAAAGGTAAACGCTGGTTGAGTTTATTCTGTCTCTTGGAGGCTGTGTTTGTGTCAGAGAGATGGTGTGTGTGTGTGTGGGTGCATGTACGAGCATGTGTGTCTGGACAGCTGTGAGAGCTCTGGCTGAGAGGTTGGAGAGGTTAGGACGTTTCGTGACTGGATGTTGCGGCTGCAGACAGAAACATTTAGCAACGCTTCTTTGGCTTTCCTCTGGAGTCTGACCGGGATACGGTGTGTACAGCATGCTGAGGAGTCCGTCATGTGTATACAATCAACAAATGTGACAGTAGGAGAACACACGAGGGACTCAAGTGAATTTATGAAGCATGGTGGTTGGTGATTTTGGTATTTTCAGTGTGCAGGGATAGAATTGTCATCTATTACGTAATCAGAACAGAAACTCTCAAATAATGAAAATGCTTTCGTCAATGAAGTTTATTCTTCTAGATGTAAGAGGAGGAAACTTCCCAAATGTTTCCTGAAATGTACACTACACCCTACCTGAGGAGCAAAAAAAAAAAAAGTGTAGAGAAAGAAAAGTGGGGCATTCCAGCAGAACACTTGAGGGAGTCTGATCTGATCAGATGGAGAGATTTGAGCTCTGGAGCCAGCCTTGTTTATTTTTTCTTGGATTTCGGTTTCCTAATGCAGCACCACGTGAGCCTGGTCTCTAACGGGAGAGCCGAGCTAACCTGCTGGAATCGGGGTTAGATCAATATGATGGCGCATAATGAGGCGGTGACATGCCTCTTAACACATGCTTCTTCTTGCTACATATAGGGGCTGTGAGATCATACGCTAAGGTGCACAGACAATACACTGTAGTTTGTGGAATCTTTTAAAGCGAACAGGAGGTTTTTATGAGTGTCCACATTCACAAGGTTGTTTTAGGAGGGAAACGATAGCACAATGTAAGCCAACTCTAACCACATCCTCTAATCCAACACACCCCGTGGACATAAGACACATCGGTCACAATCTTGCTGTGATAGCAGAAGCTTTGAACACTAACAACATCAATCTGGTGCTCTTCCCTATCACTAACTCACAATTATCTTCAAATGTTTTCACTTATGTCCCAGTGCTGTCGGTGGGATCTGTGGAAAACATTCTGTTTGCTGAGAAGCCACATCTGTGAATGCCGTAAATGACCGTGAGAGACACTCGCAGAGAGCTTCAAAAAGCCGAGGTCTGAAGTAAAAGGCGAAATGAGGCAAAGGGAAAAGGCTAAGAAAACATTTCACGAACGTCTTTCCCTTAGAGCAATAAATCACAATATCAATACCTCCAATAACTCAGGCAGGAGGAGAAGAAAAAAAGAAAGCTAAAAAGATGGAGAGGAGGCAGCAGCAGCTGTCTGAGACGCATCCAGAACATTCCGTGCTGGAGCCCTCGAGTTCACCTGAACCTCGAGCGGGACACACTTTAAATGGGTCACTGCTATCAGTCTACACATAAACCAACCAGACTCTTAACCTCCACTCTAAACTTTGAATCACAACTTTCTGATGAGTTTCCTATTTAAAGTTTTTAAAACTCCCTGGACAAGCCAATAAATAGCAATCAGGTCGTGCATGGCAGGGCTGTCAGAGCCAGTTACCCGCCGCCCTCCCCCAGCCGTCCTGTCACACATTATGTTGTAACGCAGCAGGAGATTGATAGCTCGCCCAGCCAGCACCAACTAACTGCGGTTTTGGGCAACGGGCACGCATCCAATCGTATCTCGCTGTTTAACCTGATCCTGTGCGGCGGCCCTTCACAGGCCCAGATGTGTAATGGACAGCTCGGCTGATCTTATCTGAGAAAACAGAGCCACTTATAGAAGCAGACAAAAGATAACACGCACTGGATACAGCTGCGGGCTTGTCCAAAAACACTGCTGCTGCTGCGCTGGTGACCACATGCGGTTAAAACTAGCCGCAGAAAAACAAATTGAACACACTATATCTGTGAAAACTCAAACCTTCAACATGAGTCATGCAGTAAAGATGTAGTGCTTTTGAATTGTTTAAGGAGCTATGAAAAATTAAGACAACTATGAGGCGGGGGTGGGGGGGAAGTGGCAAGGCTGCAGTAAAACTCCAAGGAAAGTCTGTAACACTCTCCACCGTGAAGCTCATTTAGAATCCCCTTAATGAGAGCTTGGACACAGTTGAACAGACAGGTCAGCGTAAGGAGGAAGAGGTCGGCCAGGAGGTCAGGGTAAACAGTGGAGAGAAGTAGAGGCATGAAACGAAATAGAGCCAGTGGGCAATGAGTGTGCATATGCCGTGTGTGTGAATTTATGTGTTCTTCCTTGTTGACTCAGCTAATAGAAAGCATGTGTAGTGTGAGGTATGAGCTTAAGGTGAGGTGTGAGTCAGAGGAAAAATAAAAAAAAAAATGAGAGAGAAAGCGTGTATGAGTGGTTACAAAAAATCTCTTAAATCAGAAAAAAATGTGAACCATCTCAGCGAACAAACATTTATATAAACACTGGCTCGTCCTGGCTCTCCTCTCTCTGCTGACCCTCCTGCAGCTCTTTTCTGCAGTGTGAAACTTCAGCAGCGAGCCAAGTGTCCCTTTA